GGGGCGGCTACGGGGCCGCTAGGGGCGGCTACGGGGCCGCGTAGGGGCGGCAACGGGGCCGCGTAGGTAGGGAGGCGGCAACGGGGCCGCTAGGGGCGGCGACAGGGCCGCTAGGGGCGGCGACGGGGCTGGTAGGGGCGGTGACGGGGCCGCTAGGGGCCGCGAGGGGCCTGGAAGGGCGGCTACAGGACCGCTAGGGGCGGCGACGGGGCCGCTGAGGGTGGCGCGAGGGGCCGTGAGAGGGGCCTCTAAGAGAGGTCGACAGAAGGGCAGCCCACAAGGCGCGCCTCGGGCAGGAGCGACTGTCGCTCCGGTCAGAAAAAAAAAGTTTCTGTGGTGGGCCCAAGGAAGCGTTCCCACTAGGGAACCTGCTCTATACCCTGTGAAGAAATGAGGAATGAATGAACTAGCAAGCAGGTGGGTACAAGTAGGAAAACCTAGAAGTGTTGTACCCCATATTGTCTACCCCACTACAGCCTACACAGACTATAGCATATGAGTTTGACAAGAACCGGTGTTTCTAGCGTGCCCACCCGTCGCCACTCTCATCGCCTGTGGTTAACCACACTAGCAACCCACCAAAAAGGAGGCGCTTTTCCATATGGAACCCAGAACTGTGGGTCTACCGGGACCGAATTTCACGGAACCTAGCCGCATCAACGCCGCAGATCTCGCTGTAGGATTTCCCCAGATGACCTCGAAGTATACCGTAAAAACTCTCAAACAGCTGGCGAGCAGACGTTCACTCGTCGCCCACCGTCGAAATTGCACCCGAAAATTATGGTTGCGGAATCAAGCCCCGAAGTATTTTCTGCCTTGTAGCCCCGACGTTTCCGCCGTTAACCCTGGTACTCCGACGTTCACCCATCTTCGTACCCGTCGAGATTACTTAGCAAATCCCAGGCATCCTTGGCAATACACCCCTCGCCGCGCCTCCATGTCACAATATCAAACCCTTTCGGGGGTCTACCGAATAGACTCCGAAATTCGCGGTGGAGTGATGTACGGGCTCAGCCTATCACTCAAGTAGCTTGAAGCGGCACCCGCAACTTTCCCTCCTTTTTTAATAATTTTCACCCCACGACAATTTCGCTTGCCGCCGTTCACCCAGCGTCCGCTTTTGTTGGATGAGGTATTCTCCGTGTTGACCCGCGATTTTTCTGGCTTTCGATGAAGGCGTGAACGCAATCGTAGTCAGAGCGAGTTTATCATATCAAACTCTCAGCCGGCCGCTTCGCTGCCCACCGTGCCTATCGCATTTAAAACTCCGCAGCTTCGGGAACTCCATCTTCGCTACTACATCGCCGTTGGGTAGACCGTTGAATCCGGAGAAACACCGCCAGCTGCCACAATTTCTTCAGTCCCGACTTTTTCGGCAGTGGAAACGTTGCCGATGGTCCGTTTTTGTTGGGGCCGAACAGTGTCTCACTACAAAATGTTTTCTTGTACGCCCCGCTGTCGAACCAGCGCCACCCACGCCTTTCTAACCAGCACAGGGCTAAAACACAGGGCCCCACTTTATTCATCCAGGTACCTGGTGTGAGGTATGTGAAACGTCGGTAGACTTGGCCGGTAGGGAGCTCCTTCTGCTACCGTCGCTTAGCTGTGAGACTCGGCCTCATCAAAATTCGTCGCTATAGGTCGTTTTTCTCGCCTCCTGAAGTCGGAACCCGTTTCTCTCGCCGGACCCGAATTAGTCGCAACTCCGTTTATTGTAGCCGGTAGAACCTCGGAAAATCGTGGGTCTAAACGCTGCGCGGAATCGTTGTTCCGTGGTGTACTAGGCTGTCTGCAAACACAGGTACCTCTGGCCAGAGGGAAATGTGCCACCTGAAGTGCAGAATCGGCTGTCACTGTTGCTTCCGAAAATTTCGCCGATTATCATTGTGGCAGAAATAGTAGTCACCCAAGCCGGAACAGTCTGGTCGTAGGCGGCCTTTTCCGAACTTTTCAGTGGTTTGAAGAACAACTTCCGTCCCACACTGTGCCGCTCTGCCGAAAAACGCCCACGACGCACCCTCCTGCAGCAACACCTGCCGCACCCGAGCGGGACGACAGTGGACCCCCGCTTTCTTCGGGCAGTCGCCACGCCGCCTCTCTTCGCCGTCGGGTTTTCCAACGCAAATCACACATTGCGCCTAGCTGCTCGACCAGCAGTCGTTTTCCACGTGCTGCTACCCGAAATCTTCGCGCATAGTGACGACGCGCCACTTGCCGAAGACTTCCACCAGCTCGTGCGCAACGTGACGATGACGCCCATCGCCACTTGACGCACGCAGCTAGCTCCGAAATTGTCGCACGCAGTTGTCGACCACGTGCCGGCGCCACTCGCACAACGCCTTGCTTCCGTCAATTTCGGACGTTGCGCCGACGATGATCTTGCCGACGTCAGCCGCTACTCAGAATCAACTCCGAAAATGACGAAACAAACACTGTTAAACTCACGCATTAATTGCGACGACAGCAAAAGCTGTCCGCCACTCGGGGGGAGGGAGGCCACGGTCCATCTCGACCGTCGAGGGCAAGGATCCGTCGGTGCCGCAGGAGCGCCTTGAAATTTATGGCCGCTAGGAGCAACTACCCATTCTCCTGGCCGGCCCTTGCGCTTCTCCTGTCACCACGGCATCCTTCCCTGTCCCCCCCCCCCCTGAGGGGTAATATGTCAGAATATTATGTTTCTCTAGTCTGCAGTGGGGTACTCTATAGTGAGTACAACCCTTTTAGGGTTTGCTATATGTATCCCAATGTTTGCTAGTGAACCTCTCTCTTCTTCATTCCTCATTTCTTCACATGCTATCAGAGCATCCACGCTCCTGGCCTGTGGGCCCACCTAACTGCTTCCGCTGCTACTCTGTGTTCGGCACGCCCCGTGGCGTGCCCCTCGCGCTACTCTTAGCGGCCCCGTTGCCGCCCTTCCAAGCCCCTCGCGGCCCCTTCGCGGCCCCGTCGGCGCCCCTTTCGCGGCCCGTCGCCGCCCTTCCAGGCCCCTCGCGGCCCCTTCGCGGCCCTGTCGCCGCCCCTTTCGCGGACCGTCGCCGCCCTTCCAGGCCCCTTGCGGCCCCTTCGCGGCCCCGTCGCCGCCCCTATCGGCCCCGTCGACGCCGCCAGTGGCCCCGTCGCCGACCCTAGCGGCCCCGTCGCCGCTCCTATCGGCCCCGTCGTCGCCGCTAGCGGCCCCGTCACCGCCGCCAGCGGCCTCGTCGCCGACCCTAGCGGCCCCGTCGCCGCTCCTATCGGCCCCGTCGCCGCAGCCAGCGGCCCGGTCGTCGCCGCCAGCGGCCCCGTCGCCGACCCTAGCGGCCCCGTCGCCGCCCCTATCGGCCCCGTCGCCGCCACTTGCGGCCCCGTCGCCGCCCCTATCGGCACCGTCGCCGCCTCCAGCGGCCCCGTCGCCGCCACTTGCGGCCCCGGCCCCGCCCCGGCCATGCTCCGTCGCCAGCCGCGGCGCACCGGGGGCACGTGCACCGCCCCCCCCCTCTTTTCCCGTCGCCCGTCGCGGCTTCTTCGGGGGCCGCTGGGGGGGGGGGGGGGGGGCGAGCGTCGCCCCTTCTGCCGCCTGCTTTGGCGCCCTGGGAGACCGCGCGTCGCCCTCCCCCCCCCCCCCCCCCCTTCCCCCCCCCCCCCCCCCCCTAACCTCCCTACCCGCCATCCCGCCCTGCCCTCTGTTAGGGTTTGGGGGTGGCGAGTAGGGGGTGGCGGGTGTGTGGTCTCCCCTGCTCCTCCTCCTCCTCTGTCTCCCACTGCTGCAGCTGCCGCTGAGGGGGGTGGGTGTGTGGGAGTCGATGGAGTGGTGCTAGGGGGTGGGGTGTGAGTTAACCTAGGGGTGCAGTAAGGGGTGTGTGAAATGGGGTGGGATAGTTTGGGGAGGTTGAAGGGGGTGGCCGCCGTGAAGCCAGCAGCTCCAGTCGCCCGTGAGACCGTTGCGCCAGTCGCGCATGAGCCCGTTGCGCCAGTCGTCCGTGAGCCCGTTGCTCCAGTCGCCCGTGAGTCCGTTGCTCCTGCCGCTCAGAGTTAGCCGCGGAGCCAGTTACTCCAGTAGCCTGTGTGCCAATTGCTCAAGTAGCCAGTGTGCCAGTTGCTCCAATTGCCCGTGTGCCAGTTGCTCCAGTTGCGCCGTGTGCCAGCAACTTCAGCTGCCGCCCACTACCTCCTCTCCTCTCATAGTCCCTCCTCCTCCACACTTGCCCTCTGCGATAGTCTCTAGCTTTGCTTGTTGTGCTTATTACACCCCACTTTGACTATGGGGGTGTGTCAGAATATTATGTTTCTCTAGTCTGCAGTGGGGTACTCTATAGTGAATACAACCCTTCTAGGGTTTGCTATATGTATCCCAATGTTTGCTAGTGAACCTCTCTCTTCTTCATTCCTCATTTCTTCACATAATACACCCTAAAAAACGGGGAAGCTAGGAAAGTAGCTCTGATACCAAGTGTTATGAGTTTTACTAGACAAAGTGCGCGGAAGTCATCTATAAAGAGAACGAATTACAGAATGATCAAGAATGATAAAGGAGCACGCATTATTAGGGTCGAAATCGTGCTAGGCGAGGACCTCGGGACGTGGATGGGTTGGATGTGTCGCGATTGGTGCGGGGCGACTCGGCATTGGTTCAGTGCGGAAGTGTAGGCCGAGCCACCTGACGCGATGTGCTCGGGCTGTATCCGTTAAGGCAAGGCTACAGTAAGGAATTGGCAAATTCCTTACATGGAGTCTCTTGCAGTAACGTTATCCCAGAAACGCGCCACACCAAAACAAGAACGTTTCAACCGAAACCCGCAGCGTTGGGCACACGACAACACTCCCAGGCCCCACCACTTCCACCAGGTCACCACCCACCCACCCCCATCATCCACTCACAGATAGAAAACACACCGTCGCCAGCGTAGCCTTCACCCACATGCCTGCTCAACCCAATACAAGCCACCTCTCGCCGCGACCCGCTCCCCGCCCCGCGCCCACGTCCCGCGCATCACCCCTGCGTGCTGCGCGCGCACCCCTGGATGAAAGACGCGGGCATCGGCCGGCGGCGCACCTCGTCCGCATATCACGCGGCTGGGGGCGGCCGACCCAGCTTAGGCGCGGGAGGCTTGAACAACGCGTCCTTGAGCAACGGCAGCTACAGCAGCAATGGCCATCGCAGCGACATTGGCGCCGCGCCACCCGGCGCCACAGGGGCCGATCGCCGCCTCGTGCCGCCCTCGTCGTCAGCCGCCGCGAGCCTCGTCGCCTCGCTGCTCCGCTTCCCGCGGCGCCGCTTCCAGCTGTGCGTGGCGCTGCTCCTCTGCTCCGCGCTGCTGCTGTGCGGCGCGTGGCTGCACCCCGCGCTGCACGCCGCGCTCCCCAGCATCAAAACCCGCGCGGCGGACGTGCGACTTGCCGCCGATGACACCGGCGAAGGCGGGGAGAGCAGCAGCAGCAGCAGCAGCAGCAGTAGAAGTAGTAGCGGTGGCGGCTCGGGCGCGCAGGAGGGGTATTTCACGATCAACTACGGGCTGTTCGGGCGGCGCCGCATTCCGCACCGCGTGATGCGGTTCCGCGTGGCGTACATCCCGCTGCCGGACGTGGGCGAGGAGGGCGGCGCGGCGGGCATGGGGCTGATGTACGAGAAGGGCAAGGCATGGATGCTCGCCAACTCCTCGCAGATCCTCTCGCGCTTCAAGGCCCCCGCCACTGCCGCCGCTGCCACCGCCAAGGGCGCGGGCGGCGCGGTCGGGGGTGCGGGCGGAAACGGCACGGCGGTTGGGGGGAGCGCGGGGGGGAACTCGAGCGCGGTGGCGTGCCTGCTGTGCGGGCGGATCGGGTGGGGGCAGTGCCAGAACGACACGTGCGTGTGCCCCGCCTTCTACAGCGGCTCTGAGTGCCTCGTGCGTTCCGCCCCCCTCCCTACCCTCCCTACCCTCCCTCCCCTCCCTCCCCTCCCTCCCCTCCCTCCCCTCCCTCCCCTCCCTCCCCTCCCTCCCCCCTACCTTCCCTACCCTCCCTCCTCTCCCTCTTTCGGCCCCTTCCCGTCTCTTGCCCCAACGTCCTTCTCCCGATCTCCGCATTTGTTTCACTCGACATACCCGCCCAACCAGCCAACGGTGTCCGCACAATCCCCCCTCCCTTCCGCCCCCCTCTACCCCTCACCCCTCCTCGCCTTTTACACTCTTCCCCACTCGCCTCTACACAACCCTCCGCCAACCGGCCCGTCCCAACCCTCACCCCCGCAACCCCATTCCCTCAACCCCCCACCGTCCACTCCCCTGTGCGCGCACCACCACCGTGGCGACCCCCCACGGCACGGCACTGGAGCAGAAGGAGCAGGAGCTGGCGGCGTTCCCGGGGCTGGCGGGGGTGGCGGCGCAGTACGTGGGGGACGTGGTGGTGAACCGGCACAACATGGAGGGCCACCGCTGGCTGCTCGGCTTCGCCACTCCCGCCATGCTCCGCCTTGTCGCCTCCGACCCTGCACTCACAGACGCCTCCGCTGCTGCTGCTGCTGCTGCTGACGCCGCCGCAGGGGGCGAGGGGGGTGAGGGGGGGGGAGTGCGGGCAGAAGGGGAGGGGGTGGTTGGGGGGGGAGGAGAAGGGGGCGAGGAGGAGGAGGTGGTGGAGGAGGAGGGGTTGCAGCGCGCAGTGAGGAAGCTGCGGATGGTGGATGCTGACCTGCTCGACGTGCTGCCCTGTCCGTCATACCCTCCCCCTTCCACCCCTGCCACCCCTCCTCGTCTCCCGTCACCGCGCCTGCCTGCATCCCTGCTCCTCTGCACCCTACTTCTCCCTCCTACTCCCTCCTGTCTCTCTTACCTGACCCCGGAACACCCTCTTATTTCCTCTCATGCATCCACCTCCCTCCATGTCTGCTTTCTCCTCGCTTCCTCCACTCACCGCCCCCGTCCTTTCTGTCCTCACCCTCCGCCCCTCGCATGGCTGGGGTGTGTGGGCGGCAGTGACGGACGTGCTGCCAGCGGGGCAGGCGTTCAACTCGTGTGCAGTGGTGGGGGCGGGCGGCGCGCTGCTGGCCATGCAGCTGGGCCGCGAGATCGACTCGCACTCCGCCGTGCTGCGCTGCAACCGCGCCCGCACCCGAGTCAGTGCCGCCGCTGCTGCTGCTGCTGCTGCTGCGTGTCAGGGGAGCGGGGGAGAGCAAGGGGGGAGGGAAGCTATGGGGGGGGAGTAGTAGGTCAGGTGGAGTAACAGAGAGTCAACGTAGGTTTCTCTTACGCTAACAGAAAGTGACAGAATGGTTCGTTGCGCTGGTGGCTGGCATGGATGCTGCTCCTCCTGCGCGCGCACAAGCACAGCACACACACACCTCCCTTCTTCCCCCCCATGCATGCGTGTGGCATCCACAGGGCTTTGAGGAGCAGGTGGGGCGGCGCACCAACTTCAGAGTGACAGACTACTACAGCTGGGGCTTCCAGGTGCCGCTCTGCCCTCCTCCCATTGCCTTTGCCCATTGCACTCCGCCCTGCCTTGCCACACACGCCTTGCACAGGAGGCACGTGTGCGAGCAGATGCCGCACTGCTCTGGACGGGTGTGGTGGCAAGCCATGCCGCATGAGCACCCGAGCGAGTTGCTCCTCTCTTCGTTATCTGCTCAACTCTCTTTCGCTTTCAATGATTTTGTTCTGGTGTGTTCTCAATGTTTACCCCTCTCCCTCCCTCCTCTACCTTCTCTCGTTGTTCTTTCTCCTCCCTCTTCCCTCTCCTGTCGGCCCTGCCATGCCATAAGGCCCCAGTCACAACATGAAGCCTGACAACCGCCCCTGCAATCCCTGTTCAATATCCGCATATCTTCACTCCACCTGCACCCTCACATGCTCCTCACACCGCTCCCTGCATCCCGCCCCCTTCCATGCGGTGGTGGCAGGAGCGCGATGAGAAGGTGCTGGTGCCCATAGTGTCGCACACCACCGCACAGGGCCTCGTCACGGTCAGTGCACTGTGCCCCTGCCCGCCTTCCTTCCTGCCACACCTGCCATGCCATGCTGCCCCACCCACACCCAGTGCACGCCAACTCACTAATTCACCATACCGCCCCCAACTTTGCCACCCTCCGCCCTCCCTCTCATCCCCTCCTCCCCCCCTTCACGCCTTCGTTTCACCCTCACCGTCCCTCCACACACCCCACGGGCAGGCGCGCAAGCGGTCGTACACGGTGCAGACGTACCCCATCCACCCCGCCTTCATGCAGTACGTCACCAGGAACGCCGGCCACGCGCCCACCGCGGGGTTCATAGCGGTCATGGTGGCGCTGCAGCGCTGCCAGCACATCACACTTTATGGCTTCACTGTGAGTCGCTCCCTGCACCACCGCCCTCATGCATGCTTCCTCTCTCTCCTCTCTCCTCCTTACGCTCAGGTGTTGTCTCCTCATCCACGCTCTTCTTTTCCCTGCCCTCCTCCCCCGCTTTTCTCGCCCTCACCCCCCTTTCTCGGCCTCTCCCTCCCCTTCCCACCCATCTCCACCCCCACCTGCCAGTCATCACCGCACTACCCAGCACCATACCACTACTACGACCCGTGCCAGCGCAGCACCAAGCCGTGGCGCGAGCGCCGGGAGAGGGCGGTGCTGCTGGCTCTGGCGCAGGCCGGCTTCCTGCGCTTCCGCGAGCCCTGTGTGGCCGGTGAGATGGCCTGTGTGGCCGGTGTTTGGCCTGTGTGGCCGGTGAGATGGCCTGTGTGGCCGGTGAGATGGCCTGTGTGGCCGGTGAGATGGCCTGTGTGGCCGGTGAGATGGCCTGTGTGGCCGGTGAGATGGCCTGTGTGGCCGGTGAGATGGCCTGTGTGGCCGGTGAGATGGTCTGTGTGGCCGGTGAGATGGCCTGTGTGGCCGGTGAGATGGCCTGTGTGGCCGGTGAGATGGCCTGTGTGGCCGGTGAGATGGCCTGTGTGGCCGGTGAGATGGCCTGTGTGGCCGGTGAGATGGCCTGTGTGGCCGGTGAGATGGCCTGTGTGGCTGGTGAGATGGCCTGTGTGGCCGGTGAGATGGCCTGTGTGGCCGGTGAGATGGCCTGTGTGGCCGGTGAGATGGCCTGTGTGGCCGGTGAGATAGCCTCACAGCACCGCGCTGCTGCTGCTGCACATGCTCGCATGCATCAACCCCAGCCCAGCACTGCCTCACTGTCACTGCCACTGCTGCTGTCTCTCCATTCCATGGCGCATCCACATAATCCACCTCTCTCTCCCCCCCTGTTGTTCCCTAGCCCTGACTCCCATCAGCGTCCACTCCTTGTATCCCTCCCTTGCACTTCTCTCATCACCACTTGTGCCCCACTCAACTTCCCCTCCCAACCGCCCCCAACATTCCCCGATCTGCAACTGCGTGCAGAGTGCCATGCCTCGCAGCACGACTGCACCTGCTGCTTTGCCAACTCGTCCGCCTCCTCCTTTCTCCCAACCACCACAACCGCCACCACACCGCTCCCCCCCGACTGCCCCCCCTGCAGCTTCACCCCGCGCGGCTGTCGCCCCCCTCCCCACTGGGCCCTGCGCCAGGCGTCTCCAGGTGCAGCAGAGGCAGCAGGGGCGCGGGGAAAGCAGCAATTACAGCAGAGGGGGGAGGCACAAGTGGCAGTGGTGGGGGGTGGTGGACGTGGTGCGGGGCAAGTGACTAGTGGTGGTGGTGGTGGTGCTGCTGCTGCTGCTACCGCTGCTACCGCTGCTACCACTGCCACCACTGCTGCTGCGACTACTGCTGCTGGGGTTTCCACAGCCTCGTCAGCTGTTGCCACTGCTGCTGCTGCTGCTGGTCACACGCCAGAGCGCGCTGCTGCTGGCAGTGCTGACAGTGGGGCCAAGGGGGGCATGGCAGGGGCAAGTAGAGCCAACGCTACAGCAGTTCCAGGTGCCACCATCCCGGCTTCTACTGCTGCTGGTACCGCTGTTGCTGCCAATGCTGCTGCTGTTGCTACTGCTTCTGATGGTGGTAGTGGTGGTGGTGGTGGTGGTGGTGGTGGTGGTGGTGGTGGTGGTGGTGGTGGTGGTGGTGGTGGTGGTGGTGGTGGTGGTGGTGGTGGTGGTGGTGGTGGTGGTGGTGGTGGTGGTGGTGGTGGTGGCGGCGGCGGCGGCGCTGGTGCTGGTGCAGGTGCCGCGGAGAATACCGGTGGGAACAAGATGGCAGCGTCAAAGGAAGTGGATGGAGGGGCGCAGGTGGATGTAGAGGAGTGGGACGGCGTGCATGTGGACGTGACCAAGCGCGAGCGGCTGTGGCCCGACTTCCCCACTGACTCCAACGACACTGCCATCAGCTTCACAGAGCCCTGGAAACACAAGGACAAGAAGAAGAAAAAAAAAAAGAAGGCGGTGCAGGGGAAGGATGGGGGGAAGGACGGTGTGAAGGCGGAGGGGAGGGATGTGGTTGCGGGAGATGCTGTGGAGGAGGGGAAGGAGAAGGAAGAGGTGATGTCAGGTGGGACGAAGGAAAGTGGCGGAAGTGGAGCATTGGAGAAGGAAGGAGGAGAGCAGGCCCAGGTGGGGGGGGGCACACAGGCGGCGAGCACAGGTGTGACGCTAACAGACAGGCAGCAGGATGGCATTGCAAAGGAAGGTGACTCATCTGCTATAACTGTGCAGTCACAGGTGACAAGGGATGGGGATGGAGGAGAGGGCAGAGGCAAAGGGATAGCAGCAGGGGCAGGAGGAGAGAAGAAAGGTAATGCATCCGTTGGTTCGGGTGCAGTGTCAATTGGTTCAGGTGCAGCTTCAGTTGGTTCGGGTGCAGCTTCGGTTGGTTCGGATGCAGCTTCAGTTGGTTCGGGTGCATCTTCTGGTTCGGGTGCATCTTCTGGTTCGGGTGCATCTTCTGGTTCGGGTGCATCTTCTGGTTCGGGTGCAACTTCTGGTTCGGATGCAGCATCCGTTAGTTCAAGCACCGCGTCAGTTGGTTCGGTGGAAGGGTCAAGAGCAGTAGTAGCATCAGCAGGGCGGGGAGCAGTGGCTGGTGAATCGAGAGTGCAACAGCAGGGTGCAGCAGCGGCAGCAGGAAGCAGGGGGGGAGGATCAGGAAAAGTCAAGGCAGGGGCGGGGGCGCATGGGGCTGCGGAGAGTAACAGCACGCGCACCACAGGTGGAGGGCTGCAGGTGGCAGTGCCAATAGCAGCAAAGCAGCCCCGTCACGAGCCGGAAGGAAAGGTTGGAGCCAAGGGGCACACGAGCAGTGGTAAGGAGAGTCGGAGTGCAGAGGTAGTGGGTAGCAAGGAGGCAGCTGGAGGCAGAGAGGCGGTAGGTGCGGCAGGTAGTGCAGCAGCAGCAGGAAAAGTTGCTGCTACTGCAGCAGGCAGCAAAACACTGGCAAGAGCAACAGCTGGAGGAGCAGCAGTGGGGCAAAAGGGAAAGGCAGGTGTTGCAGCAGCACAGGCAGGGACTAGTGTAGATGGGAAGGTAGTTGCTGCTCACACGGGCATCACACAGGGGAAGAAGGCTGCAGTGGCAGCAGGAGCTACAGCAACGCCAACGGGCACCAAAGTAGGGACTCAAACGTCTAGTGCAAGCAGTAAAGGCAAGGAAGTGGGTGGTGGAGCAAGGGTTGCGTCTACTGCAGGTGCAGTGAAGGGTGTGGCCTCGGTGAAAGGGGGGAGGGCGGCTCCTGCAGCAGCTGCAAAAAAAAGTGGAGGAAGTGGTCAGGAAGAAGCAGCCAAGGCAGGTGGGAGCAAAGGGCAGGTAGCACAGCATCAGCAGCCACAGACAGCGAGGCGGCAAGAGGTGCAGAAGGACAGGGACAAGGGAAGCACAACAAACCCTGTGCAGAAGCAGCAAGGTTCCGCTGGTGGTGCAGAAGCCGCTGGGAGAAAACAGGTGCCAGCACAAAGTGGCAGTAAAGGAAGGTTAGCAAGTGCTAGCGTATCGAAAAGAGGAAAAGTGGATGTGAATACTCAGCAGCAGAGTGCTCCAGCTGTGAAAACAAGTAGACAGGGAGGCAAAACTGTTGCAAGTAGAGGTGCCAACGCTAGTGAAACAAAAGCCCAAAGCTAACCGGCTCTTTCTGGTTCATTGACGTATTGAAGATAATACAAGGTACGGGGCAACTCCTTCAGGTTGAGTACCTACCTTCTCATCCCACCTGCTCACATTCTACAACACTTCACTTACACATCTTGCAATTATTATTTCACTACCACTTAAGAAGAAAAAAACTCCATGCCTTTACTTCATCCTTGGATGGAAGTCAGTTTACTTACCGTACTGGTACCGGCGATTGACGTACCTATTGAAGATAATACATGGTACGGGGCGACTCCTTCAGGTTGAGTACCAGGGCCCTCGCTATCAGACATTTTTGTCTGTTTTTCTGAGAAATCAGACAGATTCTTCTTCACTCATCTGATTTTCAAGAAATGGGTGCATTATGCCGTCTGATGGGTCAGAAATGGTTTTTAGTTTCCATCTGTTCTATCAGACACGTGTTTTCTGTTTCGTCTGAAATTGAAACATAGCATATCGCGAATTCCAGCGGTGGGAAGGGAATCTCTCCTGTGACAGTGCATGGATCACTGCTGTGACAGGTTGACTCGTTGCAATCTTTATACGCAGTGCGAACCCCTCTTGTGATAGGGCGAATGTGGTGAAAAGGGGCGAATGTGGGGTGACGGGGCGAATGTGGTGTGACCGGGCGAATGTAGTTTTTTTTTTTTTTTGGTGGATATAAGTATACAACGTGCATCCATACATCCGCAGTCGTAACTGTTTCTAGGAGGGCTAAATGATTCGAGAAACATTTCCCCCCTCTTCATCTCTACGGAGGTTGGAAAGCCACCCCACCATCTTCCCAAACTGCCTTGAAGCCTACCTTCCACGTCATCGAAGCTTCGCATTGGTACAATTTGCGCATGACATCCGCCTCGTCAGCTGCGAAATGGCTCCAGTCACTTGACTTTTCCGGAGTCCTCTTACCAGCCACCCTTTTCCGAGCCCGGCTGTAGATCTTCACGTGTCTTGCGAAGTTCACCGCTATGCGCCGCAGTGCCCTTTTCGGCTGGAACCGACTGCCCCTGAAAACCGCGTTACACCTCTCTAGCCAGACTTGGTGTGCTGTGATCGAGATGAAAGCCGCCTCCGGAAAACCCGTCGAATGTAGTATGACAGGGTGAGTGTTGTGTGCCCTTAGAATGGATGTGACAGGCGAGAGAGAAGCTCGACTCAATTTTTTTCCCACGTGCATCTGCACACTCGTAACTCTGTATTGATTGGTCAAACAAGGTTTTTGAAAATTTCTGATTCGTCAGACACTCAAAAGCAAAAATTCTGATGCATCAGACGGGCCCGAAGGGCCCGTCTGATGCATCAGGGGGGTTCAAAACCTAGCGAGGACCCTGTTGAGTACCTACCTGTCAGAACATATAGCTTACTTGTTTGTGTAGGCTATAGTGGGGTATCCCATAGGGGGTACAACACATTAGGGTTTCCTATTTGTATTCACTTCACTTCATAGTCACTCATTCTCGTTCTTTGTTTTCACATGGAATCAGAGCAGGTTCCCTCCTAGGGACTGCTTCTAGGGCCCACCGAACCGCGCCCCGAGGCGCGTTTTTTTTTAGCGACCCGTCGTGTCGCCCCTAGCGGCCCGTTGCGCCGCCCTTCCCCTAGCGGCTCCGCCGCCCTTCCCTAGCGGCCCCGCCGCCCTTCGATCGCGGCCCCGCCGCCCTCTGCTACGCGGCCCCACCGCCGCCCTTCGATCGCGGCCCCGCCGCCCTCGGCTACGCGGCCCCGCCGCCCTCTGCCACGCGGCCCCGCCGCCCTCTGATACGCGGCCCCGCCGCCCTTCGATTGCGGCCCCGCCGCCCTCTGCTACGCGGCCCCGCCGCCCTCTGCTACGCGGCCCCGCCGCCCTCTACTACGCGGCCCCGCCGCCCTCTGCTACGCGGCCCCGCCGCCCTCTGCTACGCGGCCCCGCCGCCCTTCGATCGCGGCCCCGCAACCCTCTACTACGCGGCCCCGCCGCCCTCTGCTACGCGGCCCCGCCGCCCTCTGCTACGCGGCCCCGCCGCCCTCTTCGGTCGCGGCCCCGCCGCCCTCTGCTACGCGGCCCCGCCGCCCTCTACTACGCGGCCCCGCCGAGCCGCCCAGCATCAGCCGAGCCGCCCAGCAGCAGCCGAGCCGCCGCCGAGCCGCCGCCGCCTGAGCCGCCGCCCGGGCCACCTGAGCCGCCGCCCGAGCCGCCGCTGAGCTGCGGCCGAGCCGCCGCCCGAGCAGCCCGAGCCGCCCGTGCCGCCCGAGCCGCCCGAGCCGCCCGAGCCGCCCGAGCCGCCCGAGCCGCCCGAGCCGCCCGAGCCGCCCGAGCAGCCCGAGCCGCCTGAGGAGCCGTGCTGCTGTTCCTGAGCTGTGTTCCTCTGCTGCTGACCTACCCGACTCTCCCAGCCCGGTGAGACTTTCAGCTGCTGCCATGGCCACCCCCAATGTTCTTACTTTTGACGCTGAGGGGAGGGCCATTGACTTTGCCGTCTGGATTGAAGACCTGCAGCTGTACTTACTGTGTGATGCGATAGATGAGGTCTCTCTCTTTGACTTTGTCTCTGGCGCTGTCCCTGCCCCACCTGCTGATGCTGACTCTGCCGTTTGCTCCAAGTGGGCGACCCGCGATGCTGCTGCACGTCTTGCTGTGCGTCGCCACCTCCCTTCCTCTGAGCGTGCCCACTTTAGTCAGTGCAAGACCGCTCAGGCCTTGTACGACGCTGTAGTTGCACGCTACTCCTCCCCTTCCTCCGCTACCCTTAGCCGCCTCATGCTACCGTTTCTCTTCCCTGACCTCGCTTCCTTTCCCACTGTCGCTGACCTCGTTACCCACCTCCGTGCTAGTGACACCCGCTACCGCGCTGCCCTTCCTGCTGAGTTCCGCGCTGCGAACCCTCCTCCCATGTACATCACTCTCTACTTTCTCGTCACCCGTCTCCCTGAGTCCCTTCGTGTCGTTAGGGACCAGTTTCTCTCTGTCTGTCCCACCACTCTCACTGTCGACCTCCTTGAGGAGTCCCTGCTAGCGGCTGAGAAGAGTATTGTCGCTGTAGGGGCCTCTCGGGGTGACCCTCGCACCCCCATCTTTGAGGGGTGTGGTCCTTCCCCCCTGCTGCCCTCTGTCGCCTCTGCCGCTGCGGCCGACCTCACTGGTTTTGAGTCGGTCGGCGCGGCGTCTGCCCCCAGCGGCAGACGCCGCTCTGGCAAGGGCAAAGGGGGCAAGGGAGCGGGTGGAGCTAGAGGGGGCGGTGGAGGAGGCGGTGGGGGTGGCGGGGGGAGTGGGGGTGGCGGTGGGGGTGGTGGCGGGAGTGGAGGTACTGGTGGCGGCGGTGGAGGCGGAGGTGGCGGCGGAGGTGGTAGCGGAGGAGGCGGTGGGAGCGGTGGGAGCGACGGTCCTGGTGGGGGAGGTGGAGGTGGAGACGGGGGTGGCGGTGGAGGCGGGGGTGGCGGTGGAGGCGGGGGTCGGAGTGGCTCGTCCCAGCGGAGCAGCTCTGGGGGTGGTCAGCGCCAGCAGCAGCAGCCGCAGCAGCAGCCACAGCAGCAGCAGCGCTCTCGCACCGTCCCCGCCCCTCAGCAGCTCCGTGAGTGGTACTCGCAGCGTCAGCGTGGTGGTGCGCTTGGTCCTTGCCCCTACGTTCTTCGCACCGGTGACCGTGCAGGGGAGAGGTGTGGAGGCGCCCACACAGCCCGCCGCTGCTTTGGCCGCCTGACTGACGCCTGGCGTCAGCAGTTTCCGGAGGCAGCTGAGATCACCCGCTGGGGAGAGCTGTCTAGGGCTGGTGTAGCTATTTATGATCTTGATTTTGATGATATTCTCTCTGCTATGTATGCTGCGATTGGTAGTGATGAGGATGACTGTTACCGGTGTTTCCCGCCCGACCCGGGCATTGGTACTGCCGCGTCAGGTACTAGTGAGGCTGCTGCTCTAGGTGCCAGTGCGTCTGTGCTCTCAGGTGCTGGTGAGTCTGCCCTCTCAGGTACTGTGTCGGCTTCGGCCTCTCACACCTTCACCCTTGACTCTGGAGCGTCTCGCTCTTTCTTTAGGGACCGCACCACTCTCACGCCGCTGAGTCGGCCGGTTGCGGTGTCCCTGGCTGACCCCTCTGGGGGGCCTGTCCTGTCTCGCTTCTCCACTGTCCTCCCGTGTCCGGCGGCCCCCTCTGGCACCCTGACTGGTCTTTACCTCCCCTCGTTCTCTACGAACTTGGTGAGTGGTGCTGACCTCCAGGATGCGGGTGTCCACCAGTTCACCCCTGCTCGTCAGCGGGTGACCCACTGCACGGAGGCGGATACAGGTCGCCACCTGGCTACGTTTACACGTCGGCCAGGGTCGAGCCTGTACACACTGACCACAGCTTCTCCTCCAGGTGCTGAGTCTGGTAGGGTCCCTTCGTCTGGTCAGGTGTTTGCTGCAGCGTCCAGGTCTGGTCCTGAGTCTGCCCCTTGCTCGTGCCGTCGTCTGTCTCACGAGACCCTCCTCTGGCACCACCGCCTTGGCCACCCCTCTCTGCTTCGGCTCAGAGGCATGGCCTCGCGAGTCCTTGTGTCTGGTCTTCCCCGGTCTCTCCCTCCCCTTCCTCCGGGCCCTGGCCCCGCCTGTGTCCCCTGTGTCGAGGGGCGCCAGCGTGCTGCCCCTCACTCCTCCCAGTTTCCTCCGACAGAGGCCCCGTTGCAGACGCTTCACATGGACGTGTGGGGCCCAGCCCGCGTCCGTGGACAGGGTCAGGAGCGCTACTTCCTGCTGGTGGTTGACGACTACTCGCGTTACACCACAGTCTTCCCCTTGCGCAGCAAGGGTGAGGTCACTGAGGTGTTGATCGACTGGATCCGCGCAGCTCGTCTCCAGCTTCGGAGGAGCTTTGGCTCTGACTTCCCTGTTTTGCGTCTGCACTCGGACAGAGGCGGAGAGTTCTCCTCTGGCCTCCTGAGTGCCTACTGTCGTGCGCGAGGCATCCGTCAGACCTTCACGCTTCCGGACTCACCACAGCAGAATGGGATTGCTGAGCGCCGCATTGGCATGGTCA